GAGAACGGCTCCTTGTGGGCAGCCAGCTCTTCCGCGCTCTTCTTCTTGGTGAAAGGGGCCCGCAGAAACACGTCTGCCTCCTCCGGGTGCCGCGGAGCTGCGCTGCCCTTACAGACAAAAGGAGCTTTGGTAAAGACATCCACCTCATCGGGGACCTTCCTGGAGCTGCGGAACGGAGCCGTGGCAAACACGTCGGGTTCGTTGAAAACCTCCCCGCTGAGCGACTGGAAGGCCGGGAACAGCGGCTCCCCTGCCCTGGCCTGGGGCTGGGCATCCTCTTTGGAGGCCTCGTGCCTGGGCACGGGCTGCAGGAACCCTGGGCACGGCTTGCCCGTCTCCTCCTCCTCCTCCTCTGAGTCCATCAGCAAAGGCCTGGAGCCGCTGCAGTCCAGGATGTCTCCCTCGTGGTCTGTCCCCTCTCCCTCGCTGCTGTAGAAGGAGCTGTTGCTTGAAGGACCATCTCTGGCCAGGTACTCTGACTCTGAGTTGTGCTGTTTCACCTGCAGCATCTCGGGCTGGCCCTTGTACAAGGTGAGTCCGTCAGTGCCGGGATCTCCTTTGCAGAGCTGTGGGAACCGGCCCGGATCCCTCTGCACACCTACAAACACAAGAGAAGGGAGTTACTGAGCCAGCTCAGCAGCCACAGCAAGGCACACTGCACAGGAATGTCACGCTGCTCAGATGGAAACCACCACCATGCATGGAGAATGGGCAGGAGAGGGAGGGCAAATCAATGAAAACACAATGCCAGGGAAGCGTTGGCAACACGGGTACCACTGCTGAGAGGATGGGAGATGTCTGACACACGCATGGGCACACACAGCACCATCCCACCAGGTTCCTCTCCCTCCCACCCCAACACCACCAGCACAGAGAGTTTCCCTTCCCAACGCTGCTGCCCGAGGGAAGCTCCAGCAGACAGACAGGTTCTGTCCTTCCATCCTGCACTGCTGCTCTCCAAGCACATCTACTGCTTGGCCTGGCCACAGATATGTGGAATTGCTTGTGGGGATGCCCCAAAACCTGCTAAATAACAGGCCCATTTCAAAGACTGAAGGTCAGCTTACAGCTTTCAGTGAATCCTAAGTAGCAGCTGTTTTAGTAGCAGCTATTCCTTTTAACCACTGCCAGACAACTGGTTTTTAACCACTGCATAGCCTGACTTCAGCTCAAGGCTCAGAGCTCCAAGACCTGGCTGGTTTCTGCATTGGCACAACCAGGCAGTGCAGGGAGAGGCTGTCCTGCCCTTCTCCAGCTCCAGGAGCCACCAGCAGGCCGGGTTTGCCTTAGGACTCACACAGACAAAACAGAAGATCTCTTACCTTCACAGAACTACGGGCAGCTTAGAAGTGTCATTGGACTCGTTAGCAAGAGCACAGGAGAAAATCACAAGAAAACCAAAACAGCAGGAATTGCAGGAAGAACAAGGAGGGTGAGGAGGCTGGGTGGTACCCAGGGTCAGCAAGGCACCAACCAACACACCCTGCAGTGCCAGAACCTCACCCAGGGAAAACTGCCCGGTTAACTGTTCATGTTTACACACCCATGACAGCCCTGGGGCACAGAGACACAGAACACCCCCTCCTCCATCACTGCTCACAAGGAAAGACACAGACCCATTCGTGAGGCATCAGAACCAGCATTTATTGGTACAGCACACGGCTAACAAAGCAGGTATGAGCACACTGGAGCAGCCACTCCCCAAAATCCCCTCTGTCTGTCTCCTGCAGCCCTGCTCTCCACACTGGTTTCCCTCAGGGGCCACTCAGATGCCAGGAGCAGCACAGGTGCCAGGAGGCTGTGCCACCCTGGCCAGGGGCACTGGGACACTCTGAGCCACAGCTGAGCCACAGCAGCACCAGCTGCCCCTGGCCCAGGGGAAAAGGCATTCAGCATGAGAGCAGGGGCACCAAGGGCCCGCCCTGCACCACAACAGCACAGCTGCCTGCAATCTTCTGTCCAACTCGTGCCCAACAAGCCGCTTGGGACAGGGTAAGAGAGGGAGGACAGCATCTGAACCCATCTGCTGAGCAACACACAGCCCTCAATGTGGGGACACTGCACAAGAAGCAGAATGCCCTGTTCTGGGAAAAACTCCTTTTTCTGATCTCTCTGCCCATTCATGTGAAAAGGGCACCAAATGCTCAGCAGCAGTTTTCTGCAGCACAACACCAGTGTGGGTAATATTTGATTCCAGGGTCAGCTATACACACTAGGGAAGATTCCAAACTACACCCAGGCTCTTTTTCAAGAGGGAGAACCTTTAAACCCCTCTGATCACTCAGCACCCCAGGAACACACTCTGCAGCTATTCAGAGCTTTGCCTCAGGTGACAGCCCTGGCACCTGCAGCTTCCCCAGCTTCCAAGGAAAACAGTGCCCTGAAGTGGCAGAGCACTGGAATAACCAAGAGGAAGACTAGAAAAGATTTACTCCCTGTTAGCAAGAGGCAGAGCAGTCACCACAATGGTGAGGATCTCAAAAGAAAGGTCAGGGGAGACAGAGAAACTCCTGGAGCCTAAAGCTCCCCTTCCACCAGGAAACTCTCCTGATTTCGTCAAGCCAGGGTCAGGCAGGACTCAACATCCAGGAACAGGCAGCTAAACACCAGCACAGTGAGCAGCATTACTAGTTTGGAACTGTAAAGGGGTCAAAGACTTATCACTCCTTCATTCCTGCACTGTGCAGGTTTTCCTTGAACTCCAGTTCCTCTGTTCCAGTTTCTAGAAGCAATTCCATGATTGCTTCTGAACAAGAGTCCAGAACTACCCCCACCCAGCACTGCCAGCAAGGAGGAACAGCACGGCCCCAGAGTCAGGGACACCTGTGGCACTGCACAACCTGCAGGATTAAGTGTTTGCTCAAAGCCATCACAGTGGGACACCTGGAGGCACATCCAGAGCCTTCAGCTCCAGAGGATGAGGAATTTAATGCTGCAGTTCTGGCACGCCAACCCACACAGCACATCCCAGCAGGGATGAACTGCCTGAGCCCTGCACGCCAGGAGCAGCCTCATTCTGGAAGATGTCCCCAGAGCAGGGCTGTCCCCAGCACAGGGATGTCCCCAGCACAGGGCTGTCCCCAGAACAAGCCCAGCCCCAGAACAGGGCTGTCCCCAGAGCAGGGATGTCCCCAGAACAAGGATGTCCCCAAAGCAGGGCTGTCCCCAGAACAGGGCTGTCCCCAGAGCAGGGCTGTCCCCAGCACAGGGATGTCCCCAAAGCAGGGCTGTCCCC